CACACACACACACACACACACACACACACACACACACACACACACAGCTATGTGAAATATTTCCAGTTGTTGCTCACTTTTTCCAGTCACGGTAGAAATGTGATGTCAGCTTGTGACTAGGCCCCGCCCCTTAGAGAGACACCAAGAACTCTTCTGATGTAACTTTCATCCAAAGTTAAGATTTTAGATACCATGTTGGTCATTATGCACAAATATGTTCAGGTTTATTTGAACCAATAACATGTTTGAATGTTTGAAGGATGCTGAACCTCTCTCCCCTCCCTCCCCCCTCTGACATCTCTCCCCTGACCTCTCCACCCTGCCTCCCCCCCCCCCACACACACACACACACAACCTTCCCTCATCCAGCACCAGTCACTTTTCTACCCATCTCCGCTGCTACTGCACTGAAACTGTAATTTGAACTTCATTTTCTCTTTTGAACTAAAGAATACTTGCATTAATGTCAATTCATGTTCTGTGGATTGTGTGTTTTTTATAAATATTATTAACTAGTACTTATTACTACTATTACTTTGTTTTATACCCCGTTTATCTAGGCCCTTTTTGCATCTTGTTTTATGTATATGTAACTCGGTGGGACTGCGAGAAACGGTATTTCAAGATTTCTGTTTGTATAACACACGTAGACATTTTGATAATAAAGCTGACTTTGACTTTTGACTTGAAAGCTGCATTGTTTATATCAGCATGTGGTTATCTTCTCCTTAAAAGGCAGACTCTGTTTCATTTGTTTATATTTGTTTCCAATATAAAAAAGGCAATATTTAAAACCCAAGAAAAATGTTGTGGGAAATTCAAATATTTCATTATTTTCCTTCCACTGAAAAATTGCATTTATTTTTTAAATAAGAAGAATTGTTAGAAAAAGGCTCAAATACATTTACATTTTAAAATCTAAAATTTCATGTGCAACAGAATCAAGACTAGGTTAAACGATGAGTTAGTCATGCCCTCCATCACACATGTGTAGGTGCATTGAGTATATCATTAGAGCTAGGATTCAATTAGCCTAGCTTAGCATAACGACTTGAAGCAGGGTCCAACAGCTACGTCCACAGTTGAACAATAAGCTTGAAAATTGAATTATTACTAATAGGTATATCTTAAACTTTAAAAAGGTAGGCCAAGGTATGTAGTGCCCTCCACTGCTACGCTAAGCTAATCATCTATAGGCTAAAGCCCTGGTGCAAACACCTGCAGGCAATACACTGACCCCTCCATAACTTCATGCTCAACATTTTCCTTTTCTTAGACTCTTAGTAAGCACTTTGTTTCCATTTCCTGCCCAGCTGTTATTTATTTAGAAAATGCCATATTGGCAGATAACACGATTGCTTAAAAGATACAACGGAAACAGAGGAAATGAAAACAATCTGGTTTTAAGAAGCAAATACCTCTTCATTGAGTTTTCGTCTATACTCGTCCATTTCTGAGAGAGACTGGTGGCCGTGTTGGAAGAGCTGAGCCTGGGCCTCCATCAGTGACAACATCTGACAGGAAGCATGACAGTATTTATTTACAAAACTCTCACATACATTTAAAACGTTTACAGACCATGTATTTATGCAAGCAACAAAATGAACTGCATATAGATCAACGTGAACTCACTGCCATCAGGATGTCTGTCTTCTTCTTGGCCTCAATGACATTAATCTGAAACAAAAGAAGCAGTGGTTTGAGGCCCTGTTCATCCGTCCAAAAACAGAAAAACTCAACAGCCAGTTAAACTTCTGGGAGCCGCAACCACAAGTCTGGAGAGAAAAACCCGAGGCAAACCTGTTATCATTCAAAACAGCAAAGCACAGCTATAATTAGCCCGCTGTTGTGTGTCTTATCCAGGCTGTTCTTGGTACCTGAATGCCTGGTTATGAGGCTGGGTTTCTCCTTTAACCAGTTTTGGTTGACTGTTTCATAAAAAAAAGTCTTCTGTTTTTATGCCAGCAAATGTACACGGATATTTGTAGTACTCTGATTTCAGTTGTGTAACTATTATTTCAGTAGGACATTTGATTTGCATGCAGGCATTACTTAGTACAAAGGACACCTGCATACACTGATGTCAACAACAGAGAAGGCAGTAGCTAGGGACAGAAAAGTAATACAATATACAGAATTCATAAAAAGAAAATATTGAAAATTAAAGCACTTCAAGCCAAAAATAAAAGATATGCAAAGGATAATATCAGGTGTAATGCCAAATATATAATATAAAGTGCCATTCCTGGTAACATGAAGAGTCTGGTTGAGTATTCTACCACTTTTCTTTTGATAACCTAGGTTACTTTCAAGATTCATATTAATAATAGAAAAGTCTTTGGTAGTATTACTTTTGCTTTTAGTACTACTTAGTCCACCAATCGTCTAAAGTGAATCTCTTTTTTTCCAGTAGCCCAACAAAGTAAAGAAGTATTTTTGTATTTTTACTTCATCCAGTATTCTTTCTCACCTCCAGGACGTAATCCAGGGCCTCCGACCTGAAGGTCCTGCGTGCGTTCAGCAGAGCGTTGCTGGCGTCCTCCACTTCATGAGGTTTCCCTCGAGGGGCCTGAGCGTTCCTCACCAGCGCCCCCTCCAGACATTCACTGCCGCGCTCAAACTCCTTGCGTACATCCTTAAACCGACGGACATCCCTGGGAGGAAGGATGGTAAGGAAAGAGAAAAATACAATCTTTATTATATTGGCCAAGGAGGTTATGTATTTGGTTTCTTTATTTCTTTGTTGTGTAAAAACCAGTGGTCGATTTTATTTAAAGTGGACCTATCATGCTATATTTTAAACATATATTGTAGGGCCATACCTATACAAAACATGTCTGTGAAGTTTCTTTTTCAAAATACCAAACAGTTCACCCATTGTAGCCATGCCTCATACTGCTCAAACCCCTCTTTTGCAGCTCTGTTAGAGAAACGGGGATCTTGGGTCCTTAGCTT